GGGGGGTTGTGTGAACAAATCAGGCCTAGTCCGAGATAATATAACGAGATTAAAAGAAAATGCAACAAGGCTGAATTCCAACAATTCTCCAAACTCGTGGCTCACCCAAAATATCCTCCCTTGGTTATTACCCTTTGTAGGACCACTACTCCTCCTTTGCCTGGGAGCTGTATTCCTGCCTTGTATAATAAATTCTTTCCAAAGATTTCTTGCAGGCTGACTCACTGCCATTGTAAAAGTTCAGGTAGCAACCATTCTTGTGTTGCAGACTTACCCCATCTATACCCCATAAATCAGCAGGAAGCAATCAAAGAGGCACGTCTGCCCTTATCCCCCTAAAACCAAGAATCTGGAATGAAGGACCCTGCACCTAATCAATGGAATGGCATTGCAACTACCCCCAATTGGCACTGAGTGGGGTCCTGCTTGAGCTTCCAGTCTCCGGAAAGCTTGGGTCTTTGTTACACCCCCCTTCCCCCAATTTCAGGTTTCAAGAAAATCTCCATACCTCTGCCCAAATCTCCATACCCCTGCCCATTTTAACTCACCAGAACTGTGTCCAGACCACACCACCTTAAATACCCAAGTCTGTAAGAGAACAGAGGGGCTCTTGGTCTCCCTTGGTGACTTAAGAGTACCCCCTCCCAGGTTTACTCTCAATAAACCTGCCTGCTGTTGAAGCCAAGACTCTTTCCTTCGTCTCTTTCTTTTTTTCCTTATACTTTCCTTGTTCGTCCCTAAGAGTGTCTCAGACCAACTCTTGCCCCTGTTACTTCTGGAGCCAACTTGGAGATTCCTGTTTCCAGCAAAGCCTGGAAAGGACCATGGCCAATGAGACACCCTTAATGGTGGATGAGGTGGGAGGCTATAGGCCTGCAGGTCTCCTGGGGTCCCCAACACCACAGGGCAGAGTTGCATGTTCAAACAGCTTTCTGAAACCAAGTCTGTAGATGGAGGTCCCTCATGAACATGCCTGGCGATTACTGATTCAGACTCAGGAAACCAGTCACATTGGCCTGAGGAGATCGACAATCAGGTAAAACCCCCATGTGGACTAGCGGAACTCCGGGGAGAGCTAACAAGCATCCCCCGTGGAGGTCTGATTTAGCTTGGAAACTGACCATCCCACAGAAACCAATATCCTCTCAGAAAAGAGGCCGAGAAATTCATTCTGGCCAGCTCATCCCTGTCCACACCAAGCTGTCTCCCTGCAGCTAAAGAAGGGAAGCCTATGGCTCACAAAAGGACAGATAAGCAATACCAGGTTATTTTACTGGACAATCTGTATATTACCCTGTGAATTATAGGGCAACTAAACCTGCCATCCTCCCCTGATGTGGCAACTGGAGGGCTGAACCATGATTGTATAGAAATCATTGACCAAGTATTTTCCAGCTAGCCTGACCTGTTTAAGTGTATCTGGACTAGACGTTGTTTGTGAACAGAAGTTGTTGTTGTTATATGCCGTGGAGTCAGTTCTGACTCATAGCGACACTGTACAGGGTTTCCAAAGCTGTAAATTTTTACAGGAGCAGAAAGCCTGATCTTACTCTTGCAGAACCACTGGTAGTTTTGAACTGCTGACCTTGCGGTTCGCAGCCCGATTCGTAACCACTATGCTACCAGAGCTCTTTGTGAACAGAAGTAGTTACATAGAAAAACAGTGTGTAATAGTAATCTTACAAGACTGGGTTGAGACAATAGTCCTCCTACCGGGGATCTTAGCTGATAAAAAGCTGAACTGATTGCACTGACAAGGGCATTAGAAATGCTGGCAAGAAAATCTGAATGTGTACCCAGAGGACTTGAGTAGAACTGAGGCAGAAGGATTGGAGAGAGGGGTTAAAGAATGAAAAGTAGATGACAATGGAATTGTTCCGGTTCTGAGAAGTTAAAAGCTAAAAAGGAAATTAAAAAAAAAAAAAAAAAAAAAGGTTCTGATCCTGTGAAAACTAACACCTGCTCTTCTTAAATGAGTCCATGAGTTGACCCACTACAGGAAAGAGACCCTGACATGGTTCATTAGGTCCTGGTACTAGAACAAGACATTTTCAAGAAAAAAAAAATCATTTAGGAGGTTAGCTCTGACTGTTACCTGCCTCAAAAACAATCCCAAAACAGGCTGTCCTGTACCAATACCAAGGCAAACAACCCCCTGAAAATTAACAGGTTGACTTCATGCAGATGTCCCAAGCTGGGAAATGAAATATTCTCTGGTTTTGTTTTTGTAGACACCTTTTCTGGTTGGGTAGAGGTTTTCCCCATCAGAACTAAGAACGTCGAAATAATGAAAATCCTCTTGAAGGAGCTTACCTCCAAGTTTGGACTTCCAGAGTGTCCAAAGTGACAGCAGAGCAGCGAGCACCTATAGATTAAATGGAGATTGCATTCAACATGGAGGTTCGAGAAAATGAACCAGACTCTAAAGAGAAACATGACAAAATGGTCAGGAAATTTATCTACATTGGGACCTGTTTCAAATAGCCCCAGAAGCGGGCTTAAATTGAAACCTTATAAAGTTGTACACAGTAAACCTTCCCAGGCAGCTTCCTTCAACCCTCTACCTGACCTCAGCCAAGGTTTAAAGGTGCAGTGGTATGCACAACACCTCCACCACACACTTTCTATTATTTGTAAAATTGCTCTTCCCAGGTCTGCTTCCTTCCCTACAGGTAACCTGATCCCTTACCGCCTGGAGATCATATTCTGCTCAGAACATGGAGAGACAGACCTGAAAACCAGTTAGAAAAAAAAAAAAAAAAAAAATGGACTAGACCCTGGGAAGTCCTTCTAGCCACCCCATCAGCTGTCAAGTTAGCCGGACTCAACTTGGACACAATGGGACTCTCATAAGACATTGTTCCTTTCAATGGGATGAAAAACATTTAGCTTAGAGTGTAATAAATGTATTTGATTTGTTTTTCCTTTCAGGAGGGCATCCAGAAGCATCTGCAAAGATTACTGAGGGCTGGAACAAGAAATTATCCCAAGCCCAGCAGCCAAGGTAGGAGGAGTCCCCACCTGGATTCACCACAGCAGGCTGAAGCAAGCCTCGACTCCATGAGAAGCTGAAACTGACCCTACCAACTCTCATAAGGTAACATAGAGACGTACAACCC